AGGTTTTAGATAGGCCTCGAACCCTACCAAGGTGGTTAGTGTGTCCATTCCACACTGCCAATTGGTACTGAAAGTGCCTGGCATTTTCAGGGCGCTGATCAACGCTTTGATTTGATCCGWTGTACTTTTGAGTACCGTGGAGTAAGGCTGTCGTCAGCAGGTACCCACGTAAATTTTCCGGTTGTTGTTATACCTTTGTGGCCTGGCACCCAAATAAGGGTTGGTTACGTTCTGGTACACTATACAGGTGTTTTATACACTCCTGCGTTAATAGCGATTTGATCTGATCTCGTATGCAGATTTCACTTTGAGTGCCGCTTAACTAGGTTTTAACGTCCAAAAATCGATATACATAGGCTTCAAAAAGCAATAGAATGTATCCAAGGCTGACTTATAAGCAACTGCTTGACATAACTCCAGTTAATACCTTCATTTCTTAGTAAAATCGCTGAATAAGGACACGACTTTGAAATAGTTCGATACCAGTGGCCCCTATTGAGTTTTTTATTGGTCTAAATGGAGATATATTGATTGGTATTAACAACCACTCCAAAGTGCAATGAGTCCTTGGAGTCCGTGGAGAAGAGACCTGAGTCAATTTTCTTGCTGAAGCAGAATCTTTAATTAAAACCATAGACATTTTCTGAGTAGCACACTAGTAGTATCCAAGGCATATTTCTTGCTCACTACGGCTCAGATATAATCTTTTGTCACAAAATTGAAACGTGAAAACGGCAACAAAAAATCCAGTCGACTGAATGGAACATGTTATACAAATACCTTATTAAAGTGCTATAAAAGTTCACTCTTTAATATATAATTAATGACACTATCCAATGTTTGGAGTACCCTGGAGAGCTATTACTGCGTTTTATATACATTATTACAGCATATTTTACATGCCTTTTATATTAGTATGTGCCAATAATAGCTGACAGTAAAGTTAGGGCGAATGCTGGACTATTGATGATGACCAGGATAAGCCGCGGCTACATCCGTTGAGTCCAATTTCCGGTGACTCGTTCGAGCATTTCGACTAGTAACTGACGAATTACCCGCGTTATGTTTTCTCCAAGGCCTGAATTGAAGCAGACTTTGCATCTCCCCACAGGAAAAAGTCTTGATGAAAGCAAATGTCGCCGAAATTAAAAAATTTAATTTCAAGTATCAAATAGTCGGTTATCATGATCGCCTGTGAAGGTTCCGTTCTCACCAGCATCATTTTTGAAGAAATAAGGACCAATGATTCCATTGGCGCACAAACCACACCAAACTGTTGCTTTTTATGGATAAAATGGCAACTCTTGAATCTTGTTATGTTTCTCTTAGTCCCAAACGCGGTAATGAACCTCATCGCTAAACAAAATTTGGTTCAAAAACATAGGATATTCTTGGAACTTTTTAAGAGATGTCGTTTGGGAAGGTCGCGCGGCTTCAGTTCTTGCTAAAGCCTGTATTTTGAACGCTTTCAATTTAATATCTCTACGTAAAATGCATCACTCGACACGGTCTTCTTATATACTCCCAGTTACGGCTGCTAAATTTTCTTCGCTGCGCGCTAGACGTGGTCCATTCGGTCGAATATTATCCAAGGATGAATGCTGGATTTCAAGATGGGTGAATTTTCGTAATAACATTGAACGATTTGTAAACGTTGTTCAGGCGTAAGTCTTTCCATGATGAAATGCCAAAAAATACTGAGAAAAGTAAGAAAGTAACATGACAGCCTGACACGTCTCAAGCGAAGTCTCTCAAAAAAGGGTAAAAAAAGTACTTCTACTGGAATCACCCGTTATATACATGAATCCAAAAATTTCTCAAATTTAAACTCTTGTCTGGATGGTGACAGATTCATTATTAGTAAACTGTGTTCACCATGACACTAAATTCCCAAATAGCTACCGATCCAAACGTAAAATAATTTTGGCTCACCTTGTATTCATATGTTTTAAAAACTGAAGAGATACGCGTCTTTTTTCTATCGAAGAAGTTGCTTATTTATCGAAATCGCCAATATCGCGTCACTATAGGTATATCCATCATACAAACTGTTGGATGCAAACTATTGGCTGATTATGTCTTCAGGATTAGTAATATATAAAGTAGCTATAAAAAATGCATATGCGAAGGGTATTCAAACTTCGGGGCAGTCGTAGTTAACATTTTTTTTTAATTTTTTTTTCATGAGGTAAAGTGAATTTTATTTTTTCTGCTTACTGTTTTATCCCTAAGGATGAAGAAACATTTTTAAAAATTGGACAATAATAAAATTATTAGTAACAGAGCTGCTAACTAAACACTACCAATACATATTAACTGTTCATTGACCAACTACGTTTGTCGGGTACCATAAATATGTACAAAATAAAAAAAATTGTATGTAAATAAGTTTTTATTAAGGAAATGTTTTCGCCATAATTGTTTCGCATAAATTTGCAATTAACTTGACACGACAGACAGATAGATGCGCTGTCTGCTTGACATATTGTTGCATAAAAGTGCCGCAAAACAGTTATAAAATAACGTTAATTTTACCGACAGTTTGTGCGATTAATGTTCTTAGGTGCATCATTCAAGCGATTTAAAATTTAATTTTGTAACACAACATAAACCGAAATTATCCCACTGTACCGTTGACAGATAGAATCTGTAAATAATTGTTATTTAATGACAAATAAATAACTGGAAATCATGCGTCAATTATTGTGTGTATGAATTGTTACACCCCGTCAGAGTTGTAATGCATAATTAAATCGTTAATAATTTATTTGCAACGCTAAAAATAGATTCGTGTGTAATAATGGCGAATTATTATCTTTTCCTTACAGTTTGGTCTTCCATCATGCGCAATCACCCAAGCTCAACACTGATCACCACACGCAAACCCTTGCCAACCCCACCCGACTCTTCACTTATCATCCTCACACATCAAAAGCCAGCCAATACAGCTGGCTCGATCAACACACACAGCCAAAATCCACTCTTCGACGGCGAAGCCGACAACAAGCACAAATTCGCAATGGACATGGATATTACCTATGGCTATGCCAACGGACAGATAGATAATCAAAAATCCTCTACCGAGACCTTTCTCAGTGGACCACTAGTGTTTCGTGTACGTCCCGATGGCAGCCCCGTCGAGGAAGATCAACATAAACCGCTGCCACGTGATGATGACTTAGAAGCCTATCAATTAGCCGACACCACAGTTGTTGATGGCGCCGCTGACGCAGCCAACAGTGGCGCACAGGCCACAACAGTGGTTGGGGCACAGCCAAAACATCGCAAAATCGCCATGATCAGTGATCTTAAGCAGCAACATTTGGCCTCAATGGCTTTGCAGCGAGATTTACAACCGCCTTATGAACCGGCACGCTTGCGCCGTCAACCAGAACAGAGCGTGGCTACTGCTGGACGTGCAATTCCACTGACCCAATCGTTCCACGGTCTGCCCTTTGCCGGCTACTACTATGCCAAGGGTCAGGCGTAAAATTGCATTGAGCGCAGAGGGAAGAGGAGTGCAGAGAGGAGAATGTGCTCGATTATGCGAAAATAGAAGAAAATTAGCTTAGAGCATCAGCATTAAGCTTATTGTGTTGCAGAATTCAGGCGAATTCTTTATCAGCCTTTGATACAATTTATGTATGAAATTGCTGCTTAGAATTCGAATCAAATTAAATGAATTATGTTATATTCTTTGGAAAAATAGTTTTCTAAAATCATCATATATCATTCATAAATTACATTATTTACCACAATCAATATAATTTAAAGTATAGTTAGTAAAATTATTGGTGTGCATGAGCTTGTGTCTGTATATTTTTATACATGTGTATATGTGACAATACTTGTAAATTATTTGTAAGTTAAATTCTTTAAATTTGTTTGAATATTTTGCTTTAAGAGAAAAACCTTATTTTATAAATCTATAGACTTACTTGTGGTACTCTATTGAATTTGTACATCTATTATTATGATCGATTATTTATTGTATGTACTTGTAAAATTTTTAGGTTATCTTTACTGTACAATAAAGGAATTCTTTATATATAAAAATAATCATTGTGCTTGTTGAACTAAAAAAGAATTTATGATTAGGTAGATAAGGTAGGCGCCAAATCTTGAAAAAGACCCGTGAAAGACCCACCGCTTCGTCAATTTTAAAGCTCCATTTGACAGTACGAAAAACAGCAAAGAGCCTTTATGTCGTTATGTCTGAATCCAGCAAAACTAAGACTACACTGCTGTCTGACAACGAGCCATACCAAAAGCTCCGTCAGGTTAGAGAAGAACCTCTCCGAGTCGTTCGATACCAAACGAGGTTTTAGACAAGACGACTACCTATCGTGGGACTACTTCAATCTACTGCTGGACAAAATAATTCGAGCTGCAGAGCTTATTCAAGCAGGTTCAAGCAGATACAGAGTGTATAGCTGCTGCGTACAGCGATGATAACTTTGAAGTCGTAGATAATTTCGTCTACCTTGGAACCAGTATTTACTGTTCGCTGTTCGAGTAATACGATAACATTGACAAAGTTCAGCGAATTAAGAAACAACGGCTACGCTGGCTAGGTCATGTCAGCCGAATGGATGGAACACTTCAGCTCTAAGAGTATTTGAGGCAGTACTCGCAGGGGGAAGCAGAGGAAGTGGAAGACCTATACTTCGTTGGAAAGACCAGGCGGGAAAGAACCTGGAAATTGGAATATCCAATTGGCGCCAAACAGCGAAGTGGAAAAACGTTTGGCGCTCCTGTTGTAAACTCGGCTATAATCGCGTAAGTGCTGTCTATACCAATAAGGAAGAAGAATATATGTTGGTAGGTAGAGTGGCTGTTTGACGCCGCACTTAGGCCTTTAGAAGGCCCTTTGTGAAACCATCAGGACTAAAACCCCCACTCTATTGTCTCATCTCTGAACCACATCGTGCTGTCTATGAAGTTCATCAGTGCAAAAAGTTTGATCTGGTCAACCGCTGATTTTCTTCCTATACAAAGCTTTACATTGATATAGAAGACTAACCCCCTGGCAGCTTCTACAATAGTTATTACATGTAGTTCCTAGTCTGCTAGTATATTGGCCATTTAAAACAGTGACCTGGTAGCCCTCCTTCTACAGTTCTTATGCCATTCCTTTGGAATTTTAATAATCGGCATGTATGACTCATATTCCATTCAGGCGACGCTTGGCCGCATATTGACGCTGCCGAGAATCAGCTATATTTATATGTAACATGTTTGCCAATTAATATCTACAAGTAGGCGGAGGCATATAAATTTCCACTTTTTCAGAGTCTAATTGTAAGGATGTGCATGTTCTGGCTAGTACATATGTTTTTGAATTTGTAGTCATGGCTTCATAATATACAACAATTAATTGCCATTTAAATCACTAACAGTAAATACGTGAAAATGTTAAGCCTAACATCGGCATTTCCTCTTGAGCCATATATTGATTATCTGCCGAAGTTTTTACCAGAAGCATACACAATGCTGCTCATATAAGTACGCCGGAAGCTGGAACCACACAGAGCGTCCACAAGCGGGGCAGACATATCTGGTCCAATGAGGCAATAATATTAATAATAATAATAATAGCTTAGAGAGAAGAGACGTTTTCGGCATGCATGGCTAGTCAGTAGAAATCCGAATGTCAAAACACTTCACAATCGTGTAACAAAGGAGCTGAAACATGTTCTCTGGAAATTGCGCAATGAGTCCCTAGACTCGTTTCTGGTTGCTGCCAAACCAGGAGATTCAGTAACAATCTTCAAGCAAAAAAAATTAAGTTTTTGTTTCTTATTTAATTTCAGCGTTTACAGTCGCCCTTGTGACATTTCTAGATAAATATTTTGGATAGACAGTTTTTTAACTGGATTTTAGTTCAAAAATAAATTATACATAGATGCGGTCTCTAGATTGGTCTAATCTCATAATCAACATCAAAAATCTATAAACTTTCCAGTAATATGGATTAATAACGTAATCAATCTTATGATATTATCAGCATAAATTAATCGATATTAACGTAAAAATACATGGATCAACAGTGCTGAACTTCCGGCCATACAATTTGTGGAATATCAAGAAGTTGCACGGCAGAATGCGGGGTTATTTAAACGTTCATCAAAGCAATCCATGCTGGAATACAGGAGTTTGAGAGTATATATTATATGTAAGTGTATATACCTACATGTAAATATGAATAAAATTGTAACAACATTAAAAATTGCACGAATACTTTTTCACCGATAACGCTGAAGTGGCAGACTAAATGTTTTGGCCGTTGTTATTGCTTAGGCAGTTTGACCTAAATAAGCGGATATATGCACATGTGATTCATAAATAATGTAAAACATCAAGCTGAATAGCAAAACCTTCAAATAATTTCTTAAAATATCAGCCTCAAATTAATTTACCATAGCATTTTGCTAGATAAGTATGGCACCGACTTCACTCACCTTTTACCTAGTGTGGCACACACTGCTGTTTATATGAATGTAATTTAGTTGGAATATGTAGCTTAATATTTCACTTAAATCAATTTTTATAACTCAACTGAATTGTTTAAATAAATTTGCACAACCACTCACTATTCAATTTCACTGCTTCATTTTTATGCGAATTCGCGCAAAAAGCTTTTGCACAATTTTATTTAATTTTGACATTTCGCGCACGCTATTATCGACCCTTTCATTTATCGAAGTCGATAAGTTAGTGACAGTTCCGTTTAGTTCCAGCTGATGATGTTTCAAATACACATTTTAAATTGAGAGGTTAAAATTCTTATTTTATATTTTTAAATTTTTGAGAAAATAAATATTGCTGCATGTGTATATATATGCAAGTGTTCAAGTATTTACATTATATTGAAATGTGATTAATATCCATTAGTAGGAAGGTAAAATTCGTTTCCTGTTTCTTATATGTTTTGTACTATCGCACATATATAATTATATGTAAATGTATACACATACATTTACATAAACATATGTACATATATAATATGTAAATGCCTTCCATCTTAATATATGTATACGTACATATGAGTAAATTACTAAAAAATATATCGAAATTTTGGTCAAAGCAAACGTCTTTTTTTCTAATTATTATTATTTGTATTTTATGTGTAAACTTTATTATTATTAACTTCATATCTAAACAGAAAACAGTTTGTTTGTTTTATTTATTAATAAGACTATTCTTTATTAAATATACTTTTATATACTAATAGCTAATAAATATTATTGTTCTCGTAGTTAGGACGTTTTCCGAATCATTTCGACTACTAACATTCATACATATACTTACATACATAAATTAGCATTTTTGTACATAAGTGATGATTGTTTTTAAATTGCATTGAAGAACAGTGTGAGGCGCAGAGGCCATTAAAACAAAACAACAACAGAACCGGCATATATTCGGAAAATACACTCTCCAACTAGCTCGTATGCCGGAGCTCTCACCCATCGTACTGGTTGTACGCGGCCTCTGCTCTGGTAACCAGCCAGTTGATTATATCAATTCGTCGCAAGTGGTTGTGAATTTGTATGAACGCCGAGAGCGTAGACAAACTGAACACATATTAATAAAGTTTCCAATCATAAAAATTAAATATAGTATATTTAATAATTGAAACCGGTGATTCAAAAAAAAAAAAAGAAAACGGAAGGCCGGTTAGGATACAATTACATATCATACATTTTACTATATATCTATTGCATACTGCATTTACATGTAGGTACATATCTGCAAAATTACAGAAAAATATAATAAAAATAGTAGAGCGTGTGTATGTATGCGAGTTACTTAATGTGTTTGTATGTGGGGAAAGATAATTGTGCATCAACGCTAAATAGGTACTAAATATTATAAAGGTTATTGAGGAAGATTGGCGTCTACGTTCTCAAAACTGGTTAATCACGCCTTAAACTTAATCAAACAATTTATTTAATCCACAATTATAACTAGCCATAATTAAAAATTTCCATTATTTTTTGTGAAATTGGTAAAAATACTTGTAATAATACCAGAATAGTAAATTATAAAAGGCTTGTATATATGTAGTCATATGTTGCAATGATTAGTTGAGCGCTAACCAACACTATCAGCTGAAGTAAAGTTCCAGAAAAATCGGCTACTTCATTTCATTCACAGCTGTTATACACAACTCTCGTTTGACATTTTTTTTATTTATTTTTGCTGTTCTCTTTTTCTAATCACCAAAAGGTAAATAATTAAGTGATGAACCGGGTACTTATTGGCTATTCTACTATAAAGGTAAGGATAATGTTATTTTTTAAATATATTGATGGGCTTTTCAGTAACTAAAAACAAGAAAACAATTTAACGACTATGTACTTAAAAACATTCGGGTACAACGCAACCACGTGGCTTTACTTATTTTGGTCGTTGAAATTCGGTTATCTTATAAACCGTGTGCTAAAATGCCGTCACTAACACATTTTACCAGATGATTTTCTCTCCTACTCTCATAGCCGTATGAAAAAACAGCAAAAACTGGTACAAAAATAAAAATTTAGAAAATATATACATGAAGGTGAAAACTAAAAAGCCGCTGCGCAATAGGAACCACGAGGCTGGAGCGTTTATACATACTTTCGCTGAAAAAACAGTGCTAGTACAAAATACTGAGTTATCAAAGTGATATGAAAGTTTGGGGTACGTACCTATCTACGCAAAAGTAATTTCTGGAACAGAAAAATTTCAATATTTTGTTATCAGCACCCTAAAAGACGTGACAATATGTGAAACAGCTGAGTTTGTTTATTCCAATAAAAAATAGCGTTTGCTTAAATTGGTTTAACATTTGC